ATACATTCTTGAAAAGACCTTGTTCAAAATTTTTAAATTGTTTCATCGAATTTAGCCTAGTTGTGTTCTCTATATGCATAAAGTATCATATCAAATTTCGAAAATATAAGTTTTCTGAAAACTTAGGATCTCTCGAAAGTAGATGTAATAAAAATTCGATAGCTTAATCAAATATTAATAGAAGCCTAAATTTTGTTTTTTTAGTGTTTTTTTTTATTAGAACACTATGTACTGTATATAAACAGAAAAATTGTTGAAATTGGAAGAAGCAGCTGAAGAGGTTCCTTTGTTAGCCCTTTTGAAGTTTTAAAACATTTCTTTTATTCTTGATTGAATAAATATTTGTAGTATTTTTGACAAATCATATATCTAATCATTAGAGAAAAGCAATCATGATCGATGCATCAAAAAGAAAAAGATGAATATAATCATTAATACATGATAAGCATTCTAGTGTAAAATGATAGGAATTATTTTAATCGTTTTACGTTATGTCCTCAATCATGTATATAAAGAAAAATAAAAAAAAGTATTATCACGTTATGTTACTCATTGTCTTTTAATATTAAAGTAGAATTGAAGATTAGCATGTCTAGTAAATATTATCAATTGAACACGTTTGTGTCTCTATTGACACTATTTCATTGATGAGCTTATAAATGATTTACTCTATAGTGATGTTGAAGAAATCTCAGATTAGTCTCTTTTTTTTTGATTCTTGAAAATTATACAAGAGATTCAGCAATTGCTCAATTGTCAGAATGTCATTATTAGTACTTCTGTTAGTAATGATTTTAATTAAATCATAATACTCAATCATAATAAAAAAATGCTTATCAAATATTGTAGAAACTCATATTGATGAATGGGATAATCGTCCTATTGGAAAATTAAATCAAGGTCGACGTATTGATTATGTTCTTCAACATCGTCCAATCGAGGTTATTAATGATTATTTATTTGCTTTTGCAAGTCATGTTTCATATTGGTAAGAGACAAAAAGAAACAATTGAAGTTTATATTTAATACACAAATCTTTTTCTTTTATATTTAATATCTATTAGGGATTCTGAAGATACAATGTTATTGATAGTGAAAGAAGTACTGAAATTAGATAATTTTGAACCCGAACCACAATATGAAACTATTGAACAAATGATTAAATCAAATGTATTAAATTATTTTGTAAAAAGTCAAACAACAAAAGTAAATGAACTTCTTCCATATTTAGCAAAGACTGAACAACGTTCAAAATTAGTAACAGATTCAATGAATAGTGTACCAAGAATGACATAACAAGTTTTTCTTTTCGTGTATTGTTGTTTTTGTACTAAATGTATTTAGTTATTCATGACCGGTTCTTGTTGGTTTCCTTCTTTTTATGTGTTTTCATCATATATATATTATATATATATATATATAATAAATTACGATAACTTCGCCTTTATTTAATTCTAGATGTGTGATGTTTATCATAAGAAATTGTAATTATAATTTGTTAAGTGTTTTTATTAAAAAAAATTATATTTATCCATTTATTCGATGTTTATCATCGAATACAACCAATAAGTAAGAATCGATATTTTAAGAATTGAACATTCTTAGTATAATAGACAAGAAAAAAAAACAGAATATCAAGGTATACACTTCAAATATAGCATTTAATCAATATTATTATTTCTAAAAGAATATATAATGTAGTTTGAATATTAAAGACAAAGCCACTTTTATTATTGTCTCTTTAATATTAAAAACATATAAGAATGGTTGTTTTTATGACTAGGTTTTCCTGTGTCAAAACTCATGGAATAGCGCTCTGTAAAGAATAATAAAAGCATTTACACTAGATGACTGATGACACAAGCATAATGGTTTTTCGATAGTGTATAGCATGCAAAAAAAAGATTAATTCAATCTATTAACCCAAGAGAAAAGACAGCGAAAGAAAAAGAGATTATTTTGTTGCTTCATTTGGTTATATTGCCTAAAGAAAGCTTATTTCAAATTAATATCCTGAAATTCTATTCAAATCTTCTACTTCATGTTATGACTTTAATTAGATTGTCCTATTAAATAAATATTATTGCAACATTTTTCTGATATGTACAATGATATATATAGTAAAAGAATACAATAAAATATATATTATTTTTATTCTCTAGAACTTATAATCATTTTTATGATTAATAGAAAAACTAAATCATATAAATAATATTCATACTCTTATATGTCTTTCTTTGTTCTAGGCTACACGAAGTTGGTCTCTTCACTGCTATTAAACACGAAGGCAATTATGAGACAGGGCAGGTATGTCATTCGATGATGGATAAATGTCAAAACTTCATTATAATATAAAAAAGCATGTTGATAAGTATATAATAGAGCACTTGTCAACAGTTACTGTTTCTTTGTTCTGTTATATACATTGTGTACAAATATAATTCGATATATACAAGAAACTCTATGTTCTATATCACAGAATCTAGTCTATACTGTGATAATAATATTAATAATATTAATAATAATAATAAAAAAGACAAAAATATAACTAAACAAAAAGAAAAAAAAACACTATGAATATAAACAACATACACTATTTTTTGGTGTTCGATTATTTATTTGTACAAGATTATTTAAAGTTTTTGAAGCATTTTGTCCATATAATGATGTTGTATCAGTTTGTTCAAGTAATGCTTGACTTACTGCTTTAAAACAAAATTCAACATTTAAACCTGTTTTAGCTGATGTTTCGACATATGGTACATCATATTCTTTAGCTAATTTTTCACCCATTTCACGCGTTACAACACGTTCATTTGCTTTATCAACTTTATTGGCTATTAACATAATAATAACATCCGATTGTGCATATTCTTGAATTTCACTTAACCAATCACGAACATGATTAAAACTTATTATTGATGATACATCATAGAGAAGTAAAAGAGCATTTGCATCACGATAATATGAATGGGCTACGGAACGGAAACGTTCTTGGCCAGCCTAGAATTGATCGAAAATATATATTTTTTATTGATAAAAATATAATCTTGTTAAATGAAATTTGAAGTTTATAAATAAATCTAGTGTTTATATTCAATATGACTAGGAGATATTTTTCTATAGCTAAATTAAAAATAATTTTGAACGTTTCAAGGTGATTTTGCTTTCGTAATTCAGCTTTAATTGATGTTGTTTTGTTGTCAAAGCGGATTATGGAAAAAATTAAAAGTTTAAATTATGTTTTCTTTCGTTTCTAATCATTTCTTAATTTGTTGTTTGTATTGGAACAGGTATACAAATATAAATTTTAAGTATTTAAGAAAAAAAGCCAAAGGAAATGAGCTTCCTTTTCCGTCATCATCTTTTTGAGCTTGATTAGTTCTTATGTACTGGTATAAACAAATTAGTTCTGCTGTTATTTTTAAGAGTCATAGATCTATTTTTGAAAACTAAAGATTATGTCAATAATTTTTTCGAAATATAATATGTTTGACTTAATGATCTTGGACAAATTCTGAAGTGTTATTTTAACCAAAAAAGAAATGAAACTCGTCTTAAGTTCCATAATAGAAAAGAGAAAGAAAGATTCAACATTTGTTTGATCACGAAAATAAAAATAGGTTGATACATAAAATAATTTCTAATGATTATTTTATAACGCTCTCGAACATTTCCGAGAATATTTGCCGTATTATTTGTTCTTATCTATTATCAGTTAAAAAGGAATGATAATAAAAAAAAAATCACATTTTCTCATTTCCGTTCTTAATTTGAATAAAGAAGAATAAATATGCATTGATCATTGTTAGATTTTTCTTTTTGTCGTCTATTGTCACTTTCTTAACTCACAAACTTAAGATATAATGATCGATTTTTTTTCTTGTCTCTGTACGTACTGTATCATAAATTTGTAATTTCACTTGTTTATTATTGATCACAATAGTCTTGTTACGAAAATCAATACCAACAGTTGCAATAAAACTACCCGATAAAAATGTATCATCTTTAAAACGTACTAATAAACATGTTTTGCCAACACCACTATCGCCCAATAACATTATCTAATTGAAATGAATAATATTCATTTTTATGATATTATATTTTCTAATTTTATTTCGTTAGTTTGTCAATTGACAATAATAAGGTTTTATTGCATATATATATTTATTTATTTACCTTAAATGTACTTTGTTGAGCATAAGCACATGAATTATGTTGACTATTATTCGTTGTTGTTATTGGACGGTTCATATCTGAACTTTAATCTGCTGTCTCTTATCAATCTAAAGATATATATATATATATATGTAGAAATTTTATTTAGTTATCTACTCGCTGACGAAAAGCATTTATACATGTAACTAATAAGAAAAAGAAAGAAAGCAACTGATTTTTTTTCTCTCGTGACATGACGATTTTTTTCTTTTTTTTGACAACTTTAGTTATATTTTTGTTTTCTTCTTTTCGTTCTGCCTCTTTACGCTCGTTTTACCTGTTAAAAGCAATATTGTATGTATATATTTATACACCTTAACTATGAAAACGTACAGACATCCGTTTGCTGAAGTATTTCTTCCCAGTAGGTTTTCTTTTTTGACATCAAATGTCATGTCATTAAATCTTCTCTATTTCTCTTCCACAGACAAAAGAAAACGAAGAAGAACAAGAAAACAATAAGAATGTCAATGAGCTAGATTCACATTTCACTAAGAAATGACAAATTGCAATAGATCTTTCTTGTTTTTTTTTCCTCACTTTTTGTCATCGATTCATTCTGTTGTGATTGCTCTTATGACAATTCGAATTATAGTTGTTTGTCTATATACATTATAAAAATGACAAACATAAGACCCTATCGAAAGTTCAGAATCTTACTTCACTCATATTTCTTTTCTATATGTATGCGCTCAGATGAGCAAATGCAAAAGAGACATGCTAGGAAATGGACAACAATAGATGAAGCATGAAAACAACATGTTTGTAACGGGCGCAAGCAAATGGTAGAAAAAGAAGAAGCAGAAGAAAACGAAGGAGAAGGCGGCAAAGAAGAAAAAAAGCAAAGGAAATAGGAGGAAATAATCGTTTTTCCAGATCTATTATACTTCTACTCTTCTCAAATAAAACAGCTTATTTTTTTTTTGTTTGACTACTAATACCTTCTAGTGTTTAACTATTTGTCTCAAATGATCGTAGCTTCTCGTTAATTTTCAATCACTAAAAATGATTAAGTAATAAATGCATCACTAAATGATGATTTTCACAAAATTTAAGATGACATCTTACCTCTTACTTTGTAGTATAAACGATAATATATAATGTCAGTTGTCAGTTCTCGTCAACTCTATACACATGTATTTGATGCATTCATAGCATAATTGAGCGATTCAAATTTATATATATATATATTGTGAAGAGAGAAAGAAAACAAAAAATAGCGTAGCCCACTGGAATGTTGAACAGATGAACAACGCACAAAAAAAAAGAGATGAAGACTGATGTTGAGTCAAAGTGAACGAAGAGCAAGCAACGGACGGAAGGGATGAGGAATGAAAAACGGAGACTTCCTGTTGACAAGCCTTGTTGATGGTATTTTCCTTCTTTTTCTTCTACCGCCACTACTACCGTTGCTATTCTACTGTGCTAAATGCATTTTGACAAATCGAATGATTCTTTCTCTCTCTCTCTCTTTTTATGTTTTTCTCTTTGTGTTTTGAATAGCCCTTCACACATACATATATATATACTTGCCGAGCAATTATCGTTTTGAGCCTATTCATTCATTGTTAAAATCCTTCTCTGAATGCTCATGTCGACTTCTAAGTTGTATGCAAGAAGAGTGCGAAGCTAATTCGATCGTTATTTTCTAAAGACGTTCATCGACAATGTCCTATCGGCTCATACAAATATATACATATATGTGTACGAATGAAATAACAAAAAAAAACAAAGAAAACGAAAACATTAAAAGTATCTTATTGATAATAATAAATTGAAAAGAAACTATTTCTTTTGTTTGTTATGCACAAATACACTAAGATAGTTAACAATAGAGATGATAAATGAAAAATGTTATCAAACCAAGCCATGCATTAAGCGCATGATGAAAAGATGAACTCGTGCGTGTTTATTTATTTATGATCATTTTTCGGATTCTCTTTTTTTTTTATTTCTTTTTTATGCTCTAGTTATTTCTTCATCGAGTATTTGGTTATCGAGGTGTGATTTTATTTTCTTGGCTTGCAAGAGTATTTGATCGATCAGATGAACGTTCAAATGTATCATCACCTTTTACAATATCATCATCACAACCAAATATATATGAAATTCGTGCACAATCAGTAACTTATTATCAAGTTTTAATTGATACACGTGATATACCATATATTCGAGCTCAAACAGGTTTATTTTCTCATATAAATATATAATTAATAAATTATGATCTGTATACTTTAGAAGCTGTAACATTTTTCGGTAATCAAGAACAAGATCGAAATCTTTATGCTATACCTGGTCTTGATTATGTTGCACATGAAGATGTTATGCCATATACAGTAAATATCAATTAAAACTAGTTCTTATAGAAGGAAGGACAAAACCAATTATTAAAAATTTTGATCTTCTTAATGATGATGAGAATAGTGATTTTTCTAACGAGAAAAGTCTTCTAACTGATTAATCACTTTTAAGTCAAGACTATGCGCATCACGTAGACCCTAATGAATTATAACTATTATGAAAAAAGTTCGAGTCCTTAACTTATTTTCACCAAGATACTGCATTTTTACAATGTGTTCTAACGTAATATCACTTTGCATAGAGACAGACTTTAACAAGAATAATTTATTATAAAAGTTGAAGATATTTTCGTTTTTCCTATCCTAATATACAGCTATGGCAACAGCAAATCTTTTACATTGAAAGATTTTTATTTTCTTATCTCAAGATAAAAGCTAAACAAAAGATAGGGAATTTACACTAGAATAATTCTTTTTTAGAGTACGGAACGAGTACCACTGGAACACGAACTGTTTGATAAATTTTTCCTACATGATCCTGATGCAAGTAAGTATCAATTTGGGCTGCGATTCGACCTATATTTCCTATAATTCCTATATTTTTGAAAAAGTCCTATTTTTGTCCTATATTTTATCGAAAAAAGGAGAAAATTTTCGAAAATCTGTAAGTTTAGCTTTTGTTCTAGTATAGTGTTCATACGTTGAACAACATATATAGTGTGTGGTCACATGTTTTGAACAAACTCCTACATTACGATGACATTTTTAAATAGTGTTGTTCAGTACTGAATGCGCTAGTGGTTTTTAGCTTTCAAGATTGGTTTTAACTGATTTTCGCCTTTTATGTTCCATCAGCATAAGCTTTCCACTTGACACTGTTTTTCGAAAACTGATTAAGAGACACATAAGAGAATTAAAATTTATCTTTAAAATTTGGAAAATAAGACTTATATTGTATTCAATTAGTGTCACTTAAAAAGGATTTTTCAGTTGAAAAACAAATCAAATTAAGTTCGATCTTTTCTATGTTCTTGCATGAAAAAAAATTAAGTCTTTATTGGGCGAGGCCGGGCGACAATTTTCGTGGTTTAGTATTTTTTTTCTAAATTTTATGGACTGTGTTCTTTGTGATGAGATGAGGACATAATTTTTCTTTCTATTGTGTTTGTAATATTGTAGCACTTATTTATTGCTAATGTTCCTAGAAAAATAGCATTGGACCTGAATCAAATTCAAGAGAACAAAAGGTCCAAGAGATTTCGTAGTAGAGTAAATATGACCCTTGCATGAGGATGTCTTTTTTTTAAAGAAACGTTGATCTATCATTTGTGACTTTCATACGACTTTACTCTGAATTTAATTCTGTACCGAATGGTATATTAACCAACAGAGAAACTATCTTAATATTGTAGTCTCTGGCTCTTCTGAAAAATGCCGAAATTGAAAGTTGCGAAATCAAGGAAAAGTTTAACCAATTCAGCTAAAAATTTCAGGAATAATTACTATCATTGTGTTGAATGTTTGCTAAAAGTTTCACATGGATGTAACTTCAGCTTCTAATTGGGTCAAATTGTTAAGAAAAGGTTCCTGGTCTTTTAATCATGACAAATAATATTCGAGTTTTTTTCGTTTTATCCTTTCAAAGTTTATCGTCTCCTTTTTTCATTATTCATTGATAAGTGAAAAAGGTTCTAAAACTTTAATGAAAGTTACTAATGATATTTGATTTAACTATTCATTTCAGTAGAAATGAATCAGATAAGAATCCTGATGGCGAACCCCTGTTCTTGCTTCTTTGATTAGAAAGATATCAAGTGAAGAAGTTAACAAAAACAGAAAAATTGAGCAGAAACAATGTATAATAAATCCTATATTTTTGATATTTTTTATCAAAAATCCTATATTTTAGACAAACTTGATTCTCCAAGAATTCCTATTTTTTTAAAAATTCACAATCGGAGGCCAGGTATCAATAGATAACCTTTTCATTGTTTTATTCTATTGCTAAGATCTTCAAGTTCCGAATTTTGTACCAAGTGAACATTTAAAATCTTGGCAAAAACGACATCATCTTTGGCTTGAATTATCTGATGTATCAAAAGATATTACACATCATATTCGAGTTACTGTTATACCATTTTATATGTATATTGAAATTAATCTAGTTTTATTTTCTTTTTTTATTACTTAGTTTCTTTTTAAATTAGAGGTTCTCGTTTAGCACAAGATATGAATTTACATTGGTGGCGTTATTTAATTCGTATTGAAAATTTAAATCCTGATGAACCTGTAACATTACGTGAACGTCATTGGCGTATATTTAGTTTATCTGGTTCATTAGAAACTGTTCGTGGTAAAGGTGTTGTTGGACAAGAACCAAGATTATCAAAAGAACATCCTGCTTTTCAATATTCATCACATGTATCATTACCAGCAACAAGTGGTCATATGTGGGGGTAAGAAAATTTAATCAAAAAAATATTTTTTTTAAATAAAACTTAAATGTTTTTCCTCTTTTAGAACTTTCAAAATGGAAAAAGATGATGGAACATTTATTGAAGTTCGAATACCAGCTTTTAATTTAGAATGTAAATTACATTCAACCCCCGGTGGAAATTCTTCATTGTAAAAATATTTTCTATTTTTGTTTATTATCATCTATAGAAAAAATGAAAATGTCTTGTTTTTTTTTTTGTATGAAATGAATTTCTTACATAAGCATCATTATTCCAGCTTTTTATATAAATAATTCAGTGTTCGATTTTATGCAATAATTATTTTGAAAAACTAATTCATATGCTGATTATTTCATTAAATTTTCGTCAAGATATATTCATCAAATAGTAGAGTTGATTATAGGATCATTATTTAAAACAAATGTTTTGCATTGTTGATTGGCCGATGTCATGAAGTCTTTTATTGCTTGTACAGAAAAATCTAAATATTTTCATTTGCAAAAGAATAATAAGAAGAGAATATTGATAATTGCCATTGGCAAAGTAATTAATACTTTTTTTCAACACCTTAAAAGAAAAAATTCATGACATTTTACCAATAGTTGGAAGATGAAGAACTTTTATTGCTATATGATTGTATTTTCATTTAAAAGTTTACTGATATTATCAATATATAAATTTATTATTATATACATCGTGAAAGATTGTTCATGATAAGATAATAAGTTTATAACAATTGAAAAATCTTTGTTAATGTAGAGTTTGATTGAATATTTAAGTTATAAAATGATTTTCTATGCGGCTTAAAAAATACAGAAAGACTTTCTAATCTTCTTTATTGAGATTGAAAAATGTGTTTTATATCAAAAATAGTAATTTCTTTCGTACATTCATATCGACTCTCATTACTTCTCACAGAGTAGCATGATTCTAGTTCCATGATAATGGCGGATTTAGAGGTGGAACACTGGAGGACGATGGGTCCCCCTTTCGACAAATTTTTCGACTTTTCTCAACAGAAAACACTCAAAAATGAGTTGATACCATCTCTAATGAACTTCAGAATATATTGTATGATCATCATCGTTCCCCTTCTGCAAAACCCTAGAGTTGCCACTACTTCATGATTAACTGGTATGTCTTTTTCCTTCAAGTGATCAGATTAATATTTACACTAGTCTTTGCGTCATCTAAGCCAAACAATCTTCAACAATTATGTTTGTTAATAACAGAAAATAGAACCATATTGTAGTGTAATTTTATGTAAACATAATTTTAGCAATTATAATGAAAACATTATTCATTAATTTTAAATGATTTTATTGATTTTTAAAATATTAATGATGTTCAATAAAATAGATGAATCAGGTTATACCACAAATACATTAAAGAAAGAGAATGAAGCACAGTAGATGATCAGTTAGTTTATTTTCTTTTCATGACTTCGAAATTGAGACTTCTCGTACTATGTGTGCTAAAAATTTTCATTTGAAACTTATTTGGATACATGCTGTTTGTCGACAATATAATGGTTATCCTCTTTCAAAAAAAGAATGATGTACAGTATTTTTATCCGATTTATGTAAATATGAGTAGGATTAACGCTTGTTTTTTGTCAAAAATTAAACGTTTGCCTTTAGTTTTAAGCTTAGCGAAACCATAATACATTATGATCTATTCAGCTTTTTGAAAAAAAGCCACCAGCTTGATAATGGCAAAACAGTATGCATCAAAAAACTTGTAGAATTTACAATAGTATATAAAACTTATTTAAGTTCCAGAAGTACGGAAAGAATTAGAACACAAATTTCTAAAAGTATCTTTTTTTGTAAATGTGAACATTGAGGAATATCCTATAGAAAGTTAAGTATAAAACCTGAATAAATGTGTCATTTGTCTTTATATATAATAAAATTAGTTTGAAATAAATTTTGGGTTTTTTCTTCAATGTTTCTTTTGTTTAATATCTTTTCATTGTCAAATAAACTTGAACACCGTTGAAAAATAAAAAGAGATTCTAAGCATTTTCGAAACTTCATTTAAAACGAAGATTGACATAAGAAATGCAACGATCGCTAGAATATTTCAAATTCGTATAAAAATAAACATGGAAAATAAATTTTGAATTTCGAAAAAGTGTCTTCGAGAACAACAAAATGCTCGAATGAATCGATTCTGATATTTTTGGTGACGATAGATTATACATTATCACTATAAATTATGTACACATAAAAATATCTCGAAATCATAATAACTATATTTTTGTTCAACTTGATTGCATAGATTTCTTAATGGATTATTGCAATAATGATTCATTAGATGAAGTTATAGAAGATAAAAAATTGAAATATAATTTGTTTCATGAAGTTAGAGTTTTTTCGATATAGGTCATCGAGATGTTTAAAATGAAAAATACTCATTTGAAATATAATTGTCAAACACTTGTGTTCTCACTGATTATGGTACTAAAAAAGAATTGAGAAAAACTATGTTAAGAAATGAAGTTGAAACAATAAGTATGTAGTGTATCAATGATAAAATATAAAATTTTCAAGTTTGTTTTGCTAAAAAAAATTCTATACTTACTTGTGAAAAGCATCTAAAATAATAACTAAAAGAAAACGTTTTGAGTGCTAAGATTAAACATATTTAATGTTGTGATTTATGCATATCGAACAGAAAAATGATTTTTCATGTGAAACTTGAGTTTTAAAATTCGAATATATTATTTTCTTTGGTACTTAGTTTTGAATCAAATTAAAACTAAACATTTCGCCCATTGATTTTCTCACCCAAACTGAAAAGAGGATAGAAACTTCTTTTTAGTTTAAGCTTCCCCAATTTTATTTCAAATCTTCGTTGGATTCAATGGTGATTCGTACAGTTTTACAAATGTACTCTTCAACTTTCAAATATTTGAATGTAGTATGACAAAAAAAGCATAAATGAATAGAAATAGAACCATTACTGAATTTAACTAGAGTAACAAGTATTTTGACAAGAAAAATACCGCTGAGTCATCATTATTGTAATCATTGGTTTAATGGAAAACATAGTCAATTGATCTTTCTAGATTACTTGATTAGATCATAACAATATACAATGTACGGAAATGACATTACATGAATCTTTGTACACTTATGTGTATGAAAACTTTTCGAAATTGGACAGTCGGTATCATTTCACAAAAATCCATGAACAATTACTTTTGAATTGGTAGACAATTGTGCAATGACGATACTGTTGGGTACGTCACTGATCGTACCTTAGCAAATCATCAATTTTAGCCAGTAAAAACACTTAAGTTTTTAGTTAACGTACGATTTCAGTTAATATAGAAATGGTCTATAGTGATTAGACATATTATGATATAGCAAACTTTAGAAACATTTATTTTATGGAGATAGTGAACTTATGAAGAGTCTATTTCTAGTAATTGTAACTGTTTTTTATTTTTACAACAGAGAATTGTTAGTGGAGAGGGCATTTGTGCTTGTACAGAAGTTCAACAGTGAAATTACATGTTTTCTTTCATCGTAGATGAAAAAAAACAGACATTGAAAGCTCTCAAATCCTAATTTTTCTGCATAATTTTGTACAATGCCATATCTATAGTTTACAAGAGGCAGCTACGTTGCCATGGGCGGTGGAGCCATTAGGCTTGGGGAGGCTCGAGCCTCTCCTAAAAAAACTTAGAGAAGGATTGAGAAGGCTCAAATCTTTGAAAACGTTTTAAAAATTACATCCAACATTTGTGTTTTGCTAACAAGAACTCTTCGAACGAGACTTGTCTTGTGTTTTCGTGAAGGGTACATTCAGTCAGACGTTAGATAGCCCATGTTTACCAACTTATTTTTCTAAACATCTTGATCTATGACCGCTAATGACTTGTTGATAGAGAAGAATAGTCAACCCATGCAACTCGTCTGGAGAGTCGGTATGTCTTAGTCGCTCATAGAAGTTTTTTCTCCGCTTTAGTATTATAAAAAGTATCAGAATAACAAACGAACAGTTATGTTTTGACAGACGAAAGGCATGGTACGTGGTGTCAAATAACAGCTGTTCAAAAATAAAGATACGGATGCAGTTACTAATGATCATGCAGTATGTTCAAACATAGCTTCAATTGATTTAACTGTTGATATTAATATTTCCCGTTTAGAACATGACACGAACATTTTAACTCACCATTTTTTGATTATTAGCTTAGAAATGACTTTTGGTATGAAGAAAATTTCAAATATTCAAACTATCTATGATATATTTATTGTACAATAAGTTGAAAAATAACTATGTTCTGTTAATTTAGTAAACTTCCCTCCCAGAATAGAACACCACCATATATTAGAAGGCCACCCACAAGAAAAGTTTTGCAAGGTGTAATAGGAGGCCATGGGTTTTCCGAAAGGTTTTCTCAGAAATCCAGGGAATTTTGAGATTTTAGCACTTAAAAGCCTGGTTATTAATAAAAAAAACCAAGGTTTCATTGTTAAAATTCCATTTTTTTGTAGTAGAAAAGCTACTTTTGTGGTACTTGGCTGCGAAAAATGCCTGTTTGAATGCCAGAAAACTTTTTCAAAAATCCATGGTTTTCTAGGACAATTCTAGAAAAAAACTAGTCCGCATTAGAAGGCCATCTTGAAGGAGCGATGTAAATTTTCGTAATAGAAGGCCATGCCATTTTTGTTCCGGGGAAGGGGATGTTACACTAAAAACGTTTATATTTGACGATTCTCGTAACAACGAGTAAGGCTAAAAGATCTTTTGATGTTATGAATCGAATGAATGCATCTATGAACAAGTATGGCGCAACGACGATTAAATCGTATCATTATTCCTCATATTCATAACGAAAAATGCGATAAACTGGACTTGAACAGTATCTGTTCCAACTTCATTTCAAAAAAGCAACAGAAAAGATTTTTTGTCGGAATCGTGAATAGTATTTTCTAGTTCGACTTTATATATTCATTTTAGATTATATTTAAGCTTTTTATGTATGTGCTTGCCATTAATTAG